GAGGAGGCCTAATCTGTGTGATCTAATAGGTCGCGAGGAGGTAATTGGCAGGAGGCGGTCTCTCAAGTATTGAGATTCAGCCTGTCCAATGCTGGTAAAACCTTTCCAAAGTCCTCATCTGAATGCATTATTTTTTTTTCTATTTAATGCCACTCACATTTAAATAATCCCCCCCCCCCACCCACAAAATTCACTGTATTGTTATTATTATTTTTTAGAACACGGGATTTACCATGCAGTTTGCAAAAAAGTTGCAGATTAATATATTGGTGAAACCGAACACGAAAATCACGTAAGTCTTGACGGTTGTTCTTTTCTATTGTGGGGGGGGGGAAGGTGAGGGGGTTTGTTCTTCATGTATGCTTGTCAGGAGAACTGGCTTACGGGCAAGGAGGGATTCAGATCTGCAAGATGGCAGGTTTGACATCCTCACTGAAGCTCCGCCCCCTTTAGATGGGCAGACCATAGAGGTCACCTGTGGCCTTCACATCTCCTGGAAGCCTCTTCTGAAACAATCTGATAGGACAGATGGAGAACGGTTGGTTGTAGGCTTTAAAATCAACGGGGGGACGACGACAAGATATCAACCCGTCTCAATTATCTGAGACATATCCATTCACGTTCTAGCTAAGGCCTTATCTTATGCTCTCTTGAACTCTTCTGCCCTTCCATAAATTTGTGTGCTCAGCCATCAAAAAGAGAGGTTTCCTTGCTGTGTTTTGCTTATTTTGAAAATGCCATTTGTGTCAGGTTTCTGAAAGATGCCCCAATTAATTCATGAGCCTCGAGCCAAGTTTCAAAAGAAAATCCAGTCATTTATTAGGAACACCACTTCGGCAATATCCCATTGCAGTCAGATCTGACCTCATTTTAATTATGGCTGAACTTTGTGCCCCTGTTTCCCCCTCCCTCCCTGCTCAGTCTGTGTCATAAATCACATTCTCCAATGAGGTGCACCCCTCCCAAGCCTGCTGTAGTAATCTGAAGATATACGTGGAATGCACTCCCCACCTTTCGTCACCAAGGCAACTTTATGAGTTGAAATTTAGCCTTTTTTTCGCAAAGGTAACAATCTAAACCAGGAGTGCCAAACACAAGCTGTGGTCGGATCTGGCCTGTGGGGCCATTGTGGAAAATGTAAAGGGCCGGTCTGCGTCGCTTCATCCCGGTCTGCCCAATGCAAAGAGGAAACATGTCAGCTGTTTGGGGAGTGACATCAAGTTGGCCATGCCCACCCAGTCAGCACGCCCACCCAGTCAGCCATCCCAGTGAGTGGCATCAAGCTGGCCATGCCCACCCGGTCAAGCACGCCCACCCAGTTGGTTATGCCCACTCAATCAGCCAGCCCAATGAGTGGCATCAAGATGGCCATGCCCACCCAGTCAGCCACGCCCACCCAGTCGGTCATACCCACTCAATCAGCCAGCCCAGTGAGTGGTGTCAAGCTGGCCATGCCCAACCAGTTGACCACACCCACCCAGTTGGCCATATCCCCCCCCAAGGTCAACCACAGCCCTGATGCAGCCCTCAATGAAATTGAGTTGGACACTCCTGATCTAAATGAATGTAGACATTTCCAACCGGTTGGAAGAAGAACCAAGCAACACAGGCATTTTCTCCACCAGGCAATTTCAGGTGGCCCCAAGAAAAATAGTATAGAACTCAAAGTAAGGTAAAGGGACTTGGTGGCTCAGTGGCTAAGATGCTGAGTTGTCAATCAGAAAGGTCGGCAGCTCAGCGGTTTGAATCCCTAGCGCCACGTAACAGAGTGAGCTCCCGTTACTTGTCCCAGCTTCTGCCAACCTAACAGTTCGAAAGCATGTAAAAATGCAAGTTAAAAAATAGGAACCGCATTTGGTGGGTAGGGAACAGCGTTCCATGCGCCTTTACTGTTTAGTCATGCTGGCCACATGACCACGGAGACGTCTTCGGACAGCGCTGGCTTTTTGGCTTAGATACAGAGATGAGCCCCCTAGAGTCAGGAACGACTAGCGCACATGTGCGAGGGGAACCTTTACCAAAGTAATGTGGTCACCATTTCTTGTAATCTCAGAAAAGAACTGAGTTCTTCTAATGTTGCTTTTTTCCCCCTTTTTTGTTTCCTGCAGAGCACTAAAACAAATCAAACATCACTTTATCTTTCCTGTTTTGTGGCTGAATGAGGTGAGTGGATGCCTTTTTCAATTGCTCCAAATCCTTCCTTTATAGTTTGTCTCATTGACCAATCTGGGATCACTGTTGATTGAACCAACAACAAAAAAAGGGGAGGGGGAAAATCCCCCCAAAAATCCGCGTCTACGTGATCATCTACCCTGTTTTCTGTGACTGTGAGTTCAATCCTAGGTAGAAGCAGATATTTCTCTCCCTGGGCACACTGAGAATATATCTGCTGAAACGAAACTCCGTCCTGGCGACAGGAAGGGCATCGGGCCATTGAAACACTCTGCTAGAACTTTTCAGTTGCCCAGACTCCACCCCTCAAGGGATTATGGGGTCATTAAATGACGAGGATGAGGATGAAGCATGTGCCAAATAGGAAGAGTGATACAGTGGCCCAGAGGTGGAGCTCTCACCTCACAATCAGGAGACTGTGAGTTCAATCCTAGGTAGAGGCAGATATTTCTCGCTCTGGGCACACTGAGAATATATCTGCTACAGAGGTGGTATTCACTAGGTTCTGGAGAATCGCTAGTGGAAATTTTGAGTAGTTTGGAGAACTGGTAAATACCAGCTCTGACTGGCCCTGCCCCCGTCTATTCTCTGCCCTCCCCCAAGTCCCAGATGATGGGGAGGGAATGGGGATTTTGCAGTATCCTTCCCCTGCCACGCCCACCAAGCCACGCCCACAGAACCGGTCCGGTAGTAAAGTTTTTTTGAATCCCACCACTGATCTGCTGAACAAAACTCCGCATTGGCAACAGGAAGGACATCTGGCCAGTAAATACTCGGCTCCATTCATTGCCCAGACTCCACCCCCCACAAGGGATTATGGGATGGTTAAAAGAAGACGATGATTCCTGCTGCTGTATTCTTCTGCTGGAAGGATGCTGAAAAATGCTCTCTCTCTCTCTCTTTCTCCAGACGGCTACTATCACTGATGAGAAAGCAGAAGTTTTCCGATCCAAAGTGACCAACAAGATCAAACTTCTGCACTTCCTTCAGCTGGCGCTAATGGTCATCGGATCTGTGATCTTTCTGGGATTCCTAATTGCTTTTTTCCTATGCAAAGGGAAGAGCCCTAAATAAGTGAGATTCGAAACTGAGATCTGCAATTAGTGCATTCATTAATTAATTTGGAAGGGGTCTTGGTGCCACTAGATTCTGGATACCATAGGACTTACTTACTTACTTACTTACTTACTTACTTACTTACTTCCTCCCTCCCTCCCTTCCTTCCTTCCTCCCTCCCTCTCTCTCTCTTTCTTTCTTTCTTTCTTTCTCTCTGTCTGTCTTTCTCTCTCTCTCTCTCTTCCTTCCTTCCTTTATTCCTTCATTTCTTTCTTTCTTTCTTCCATCCTTCCTTTCTCTCTCTCTTTCTCTCTCTCTCTCTCTTTCCTTCTTTCTCTCTCTCTCTTCCTCTCTTTCTTTCTCTCTCTCTGGCTCTGTCGCTCTCTGGCTCTCTCTGTGTCTGTGTCTCTGTCTCTTTCTGTCCCTCTCTGTCTCTGCCTGCCTGTCCCTCTCCCTCCCTCCCGCTCCCTCTCCCTCTTTTTCTCTTTATTCATTTACAAAATTTATATTGCCCACTACTCACACATGGCAACTCAAGGTGGCTTACAAGGATACAAAAGCAGCATGTGCAAGAAGGAAGAATCATTTTTAAAAAACATAAAATCATAATTCCCCATCCTGGCGACAACACACATACATACCATGCTGGGTTCCCCAGTCCCACTGGCAAAACCACGGCTCCAGGGCCTTCTGAAAGAATGTTAGAGTGGGAGCCAACTTAATCTCGGGTGGAAGTGCTCTGAGATGCATTCAAATAGAAATGAAGTCCCAGTCCCTCATCCAACATTTCTGGATTTATCGGACTTATTTTTGTTTCCTTTTCTTTTCTCAGCCTGCAGGAAGATGCTGCTGGTGGAAGCATCCATTATTTCCCCCAATTTCAAGCAGAGAATAGACCTGCCTTCCTGGTGTTGTTGTTGGTTGTGCTCCGTATATGTAAATACCTTGGGGGAAAGATGCCGGACATAAAGTGGGGGACAGATAAATCATTTTTTGCAACCCGAACTCCACGGACATTCAAAGGTTCTGTTTCCTCCCCCACCTCCCATCGGAAAGACTGGCATGAAACCTGAACTTCTGGGTCCCTCGAAGGAAAAAACCCCATTTTGCCCCTCCTTCAGAATGCAACTTCACTTTGGATTTGAGTTTGTTCTGCCAATCCTGCAGCTCGGCTGGCATTTCCTCTGAGTTTCCGCACTTTAGGAGTCTAAGGAGGGCGAACTGAAGTTACACCACGGAGTGGCTGGGCTAGAAAAATATTATTATTATTGGCCTCCCACCCCTCTGACGAGAAGAGCCCGAGTTGTGTTTGCCTTCAAAAGCTGTGACTTTTTGATTGGTTTCGAAGGAGAGGAAGGAAGAGCCAACAACTGTAGAATATTAATTGCTAGTAAAGGACTTACCAAAAAGGCTTGTTTGGTTATTTGGGTTTCTGTCAACCCTGAGGTTCCCTAACCTGTTCTGACCCAGGCTTCCTTAGAAAGGAAGAGTCAAGATCCTCGCCAAAACCCCTTTTACTGACACAACGGTGAATTCCTTTCATTCACAGTCTGTGTTCTGCCCCAGGCAATGAGGTTCTGCTCGGGCAGCCAGTTAACTCCACATTTAGGAATATCTTTCAGACCACGTTTATTATCAGGCATCCTTAATAGCAAAACTTACAGTTCAGTGTTAAGATTCTTCTGACTTCCCATGATCTGTCCCATCACGTAGTGTAAAAAGATGATGGTTTTTATCCCCATGCTGAGTGGAGATGTAGAATGCTACTATTCCGGTTCACAAAAGCAATTGAACTACCCCGGCTATAAACTTTGCATGTGGGCAAGATGCCCCGGTGGCCAACCATAAACAGAGATGAGATCATGGGAAGTCAGAAGAATCTTAACACTGAACTGTAAGTTTTGCTATTAAGGATGTCTGATAATAATCGTGGTCTGAAAGAGATTCCTAAGTGTGGAGTTAACTGGCTGCCCGAGCAGAACCTCATTGCCCGGGGCAGAACACCACCCATTGCTTCTGTACTGCCTTTTATAACAAAGGACTTTACTATGGTCATTACAGTAGCCAGGGAAGATATGAAAGAAAGTTGAATGAGGTGGTGTCAGGGT